AAAAAAAAAAAAAATGAAGACCAGCCTCCCAAAAAAGTTTTGCTAAAAATTTCTGCTGCAGTAAAATTGTTAATGTAATTTCCTGAGACAGGAGGTGGGGAGTTTTACTAAAAATGAAAGAGGAATGAATTGAAAAATTGTTTTCCTGTAATTGTTTCCTAGTACTGCAGATTAACAAGGATGACGTAACTGCTCTGCACTGTAAGGTGGTATGCCTTATCCAGAACGGAAGCTTCAAGGAAGCCCTGAATGTCATCAATACTCACACAAAAGTGTTAGCCAAGTAAGTGACTTAGTTTTTGTATATTTGGTAGAAACATGTTCGCCATAGCTATAACCATTTCCTTGGTTTCTTCTCCCCAGCCTCATCCCCAATATTCAGTGAACTTGACCATTGTCTTCCACTTTTGTTAGTAACGTTTCTGAAAGTTAGGATACTTTTTTTTTCTCTTTGTGCCTTTCTTTCCTTTGCACCACTAAGAAAAAGATAAACTGTGGAGAAACGTGGTGCAAAAATGTCATGAGTTTTTGGAGGACACAGAGAACAACTCGCCAGAAGTTGATTTTTTAAAAAAGACAGAATATCTAGGTTAGCCATTATTACATATGTAGTTTCTAAGTCTTTAAGTTGATAGAGAGTTCAAGGATGGTATGGTAGTCTTAGCCTGACCTCTGTGCCGACCTCCTTTGAGAATCTTCTGGGTGAGTGTGATTGGAGGCCAAGATCTTTAAGTGTCAGAGTTCTTTATCATTTTTTCAGAATAGCCATTTTTCTGTTACGTCTTCATTTATTATCTTTATCACTGTGAATCTGAATTACTACTGTAATTTGATGTCTCTTATGTTATGCCTAAGCCCTATAAGAAATGTATTGAATGAAGTTTGTAGCATATTGATTCTTTAATGAGATGATGATTTGTAGATGTAGAGCAGTATATAGTATACTTCCTCTCATGTAAGAAAAGGAGGATATAAAAACATACATGTGTAGGGCACTCCCTGGTGGTGCAGCTGGTTAAAGCACAATGCTGTGAAGCTATCTGCAGCCACTGCAGCATGAGTTTGATCGCTGCCCCAGAGGTGAACCACATAGCACAGCAGACCTCTTCTGACCCACCCACTGCTCTCCTCAGCAGTGTCTTTCAGTCGCTCTGCCTGTTTTGCTCCCTACTCTGTCTCTGGTGAATCCTGTTTCCCTCAGCACCTCTGGCTTGTACCCCAGTTCTTGTATACATAAATAAATAAATCTTTGGGGGGGAAAAAAGTACATGTATTTACCTGCATTTGGAAAACACTAGATAAGAGGAAAGAGATCTGCCACGCCATGTTGTGGATCACCTCTGGGGCAGGGGCTCGAACTCGCACCAAGCAACTGTGGCTCGCTTGCAGTGCTGTGCCTTAGCCCATTGTGCCACCAGGGAGGGCCTCATTGTCTTATTTTAATGAATTGCTGCAGCCACCCCACCCTTCAGCAGTCACCATCCTAATCAGTCAGTAACTATCATTATGGAGGCAAGACCCTCGACCGGTGAAAAGGTCATAACTTGCTAAAGGTTCTGATGATGGTAGTTTTTGGTTTTTTTTAGCAATGAAGTATATATTTTTTTAACCAGTGAATAACATTTTTTAGCAATGAAGTTTTTTGTTTTTTGTTTTTTTAAAGATTTATTTATTTGTGCACACAGAGCTGGGTACAGGCCAGAGACTCAGGGGCAGCGAGAGGCTTCACCAGAGACAGAGTGGGGAGCAGAACAGGCAGATTGACGAAGTACACTGCTGAGGGGATCAGCGGGCAGGCCACGCCATGTGGTCACCTCCGGGGCAGGTGGGAATCGAACTCATGCTGAAGTGGCTTTTTAGCTTCTCAGTGCTGTGCTTTAACCCGCTGCGCCACCAGGGAGGGCCACAATGAAGTATTTTTTAATTAAGTAATGTATATTACTTTTTTAAACAATATTACTGCACATTTAATGAATTATAGTATCATACAAGTGTAACTTACATGCACAGGAAACCAACAGATTTGTGTGACTTCCTATATTATTGCACCAAGCCCATAACATCTCTAAGGTGTGCCTGTATATCAAGTGCTTAGAGCAGTATCTGTCATATAGCAGGTGTTCTGCAGTGTTCGCTAATAATCAAAATTTTTCTTTTTCAGTAATTCTCTTCCTTTTGAGAAGGCATATTGTGAATACAGGCTGAACAGAATTGAAAATGCCTTGAAGACAATAGAAAGTGCCAATCAGCAGACAGGCAAGCTAAAGGAACTTTATGGACAAGTGGTAATTACTGTTTTAAAATACCTGTTGACTTTGAAGATGTGTGAATCTGTACCTTTACATACAATATTGTAAATCAATGCAAGATAATAAAAGGAATTATGACTTTAAAAAGAAAGATAAGGAGGGGGAAATATCTGCCTACTCTCCCCAATAGGGAGAGGTCACATAATCAGGAGGCTTCCCTGGGGTCACAGTGATCAGACCAGTATACTCAAAGCACAGCAATTCAGGCCAACTTTAATGAAGAGAAGAAGTAAAAAGATTTGGACATAGTATAGGGAAAAATAATAAGAAGCAGTGCAGAATCCTGTATCTGTAAAGGAGGAACTATTACTATTTTAGTAGTGAAGCATAGCGAGAACCGAGATATAACACAAGATGTATGCAAGGGGCTGTCTGTAAGGATCTGAGAATTTAATGGAAGGATACAACCACTGCTTTGTGATATCACAGGAGGAAAGTCAGGGGAACAGATAAGATGCCTCTGCTTTTTCCTCTATCCATCTGATTTGTTGCCAAGGCTGTTTATCCAACAAATTCAACTAGAAGCCAGAGGCAAGGAAGTCCATATAGGTCAGCCTCCTGGCACTGAATAGGTCAGGCAAGGGTGAAGGGTGAATTGGGGCAAAGGAAAATGTCTTCCTTCTTCATCAGTCTAAGAGCAGTTGGGACTTAGAGATCCCTTCTCCAAGCTTCCCTTTCAGTATCCACATGCTTTCCTCAACAAAAGAAGTTCTCAGTTTACAGAAACTTGCCCCAACGTTCCTTGCTATTTGATCTCATCAGAAAGCAAGATTTGGGCGGTTATGTCATTTATCAATGGGTAATGATTATACCTCTACAGCTTTAACATGGACTTTGAAAGTTGGATGTCTATCTGATAACTGGTTCCTCTGACTATTCAGAGAAATTTAAGGGAAGAAAGAAAAACTTGTTCACTGTCATCCTGAGTGAGCATAGTTGTACCTTTAGCAGGGAGCAGGACTGAGGAAGCCCAATCTATTTTGATACTCCACAAAATTTACCACCAATCCAGATCTTGAGTTTTAACATATTCCCTCTCTTTTGGTCTTCATACCAACAGTTGCATATGACACATTGTATAAACACATTATTTTCTCAGAGTAACTAGAAAAAGAAAATGAAGAATAATCCTATTTAATTTGTACTTTGTAGTTTGACAAATGAAGGGTAGTGAACTCATATGCTTATTCAAAAAGTGTTTAACTTTTTTTTTTCTTGGTTTTTAACTAGTATTTTATTCCAGATTTAAAATGAAGAAAGTCATGCTGCATAAGAAATTGGATTTCATTGGATCCCTGAAAATACCTTTTCACAAGGATTTGAGATACAACATTAAGGCTAATAAGAAGCAGTGCTATTAATGATGATAGGATGGCAGTGTTACTTAGAACTAGCAAAAACCCTCTTAAATATTGTTGGTTTAGTACTGCTAATGTATACACTGTCCCCAAGAGATAGTGTCAGTTTTACAATATAAATGGGATTGTAGGTCTGTAAAATATTTTAAGGTAAGATGGGTGAGTTAAGGGTAAATTCCAGAAGTTAGAGACTGATGAAGGCATCTGTCTGTTATTCCTAATTGAGCCAGGGTGGTGACATAAGAAAACAACTTGAATGAAGTAAGCAGGTGTATTGTTGTGAATACTTGATATTGTTCTGTATGATAGTTGATTGCTAGAAAGATTAAACTCTTTGAACAATTTGAAAATATTAAGCTCTTTTATTATCCTCCACCTTTGTTCCTGCTCCTATTACTGTGGCTCAGTAATCATTTTATATCGTAGGGAAGTATTTTCATTGTAAATAACTTCATATTTAGGTAACTTCTATTTCTGTAGAAAGGCTTTCTTTCACAACCCACTTAGCATCTAACCTCAAGAAGGATGTAAATAACAGTGACTTGTTTAATTGAATCTTGCCTCCAGATCTGCAGTATAGGAAAGGTTTAATGGAAGTAAGTTTTTGAAAGTATTAGTGTCTTAAGAACTAATTGGAAAACATAAGGAAAGACGATTGACAGTGTCATGCTAACTTTGATTTCCTTAGTGGTTCCAAGAAAGTTTATATGGCATTAGAGACATAACACTGTATTTGTCTCCTCTGATTCTTGACTTATCTCTTCAGTTATACCGATTAGAACGCTATGATGAATGCTTAGCTGTGTATAGAGATCTTGTCCGAAACTCCCAAGATGATTATGATGAGGAGAGAAAGACAAATCTTTCAGCCGTTGTTGCAGCTCAAAGCAATTGGGAAAAAGTGGTGCCAGTGAGTATTCTTGTGTACCCACACAGCCACGAAACAATATTCCTGCTGAGTGTTTGACTGATCCTTTGCTCTGTGACAGGAGAACCTGGGCCTCCAAGAAGGCACACATGAACTGTGCTACAATGCTGCATGTGCACTAATAGGACAGGGCCAGCTGAACCAGGCAATGAAAATCCTGCAAAAAGCTGAAGGTTGGAAATTTGTTAAAATTATATGTAAATGTAATACGCATATAACTTTGCAAAGTCTTCCCAAAATTGCATATTATTTGATGTTTTTAAATGGAAATTATTGATGCATTGAGAATTTCTCAAGCTCCATCAGCTTGTGTTTTTTGAGCATATCTTTCCTTACTCTTTAAGTGAGACTTCTTGTCCATTTTCAACCACACTAGACCTTAAAGTTTGAATTAGAAGGAGGAGTAGGGTGAGTAGGGTTTTGAACAAATTACTATGGGTATGAAATGTACATTATTTAGTGTTAGATACTTGTAGTAGTTCATGGCATATAGAGTTAGAATTCAGTAAGTATTAGCATTATTCTTACTAAAATGTGTTCAACTATAATAATTGTGGCTGCATGCATACATGCATGTGCATATACTACATTTATACATTGATAACACTGTTCAAGCACATTTTAATTCTTATGTCTGTTTCAATATAGAGAAATCTCTGAAAGCTTTGAAACTTTCAATTAAGTGAAATAATTGTTAGAGAACTTGTGTATGGTCTCAGCTTCTGAAACACTTAGACTTTTCCTCTCTGTACATTTCCCCAAAGCTACAAAAATGATGTAATGGAGACTTCAGTGAACAGTGGGTAGGAACAGATGATGAAACAACCAGCTTTGCTTTTAAATATTGAAAATTAAAGTAAGACCAGAAGTTAGAATACCATGAGAAGAAAAATGTGTTTTAAGTATTATTTCTTGATCAGAGTACTAATATACATTACAAATTTGAGTGCGAAAGAGGTACAGACTTTGCATATTAAAGACATTAGTCAAGCAGGATAATAGGTTTTAAAAGTGCCTGCTCTTTGACCCAAGGATTTCATTTTAGAAATTTTAAGCAAATGATTATATTTATATGTATGTATTTATAAGAATAAAAATTGAGCATCATGAGTTTCTGTTCTGTTAGAGGATTGATTCAACTTTATTATAACCACAGGGAAGATTACCACTCAGTCATTAAAATAATTAGATCTTTATTTAGTAAAACATAAAGTTATTAAATGGAAAAAGAAGTTTCAAAATGCTGTGTAGAATCTCACTTTCACTTTAAAATACAACTGCATTTACATTGTAGAGATAATACATGATAATTGTGATTATCTCTAGGTGATTTATTTTTTATGCTTTCCTATAATTAACATTTTGTAACCTGTAGTCAGAACTGTTTAAATTTTTTAAATGTACTGTTTGTTTTTCAAATGTACTTTTAATTTTAACAGATTACAGATGAAATAAAAATGCAGAAAGTCTAAAATAATCAGATTAATAACATTTATGTAACATTTGATGTAAAATAGTGAAATACATTTGCTTGTTTTAAAAATTATCTTTCAAATCTTCTGTCCAATAATTTTTTGGAATGATGAAAGCAATAATTACCCAGCAATGTTAATTTCAAAACATTTTCTCCTATAGATCTTTGTCGCCGTTCATTATCAGAAGACGCTGTAAGTATTCTAGTATTACTAAAAGCAAATGTTGTACCACTATAAATTTACAGGAGTCTTTATTATAGTATTTCTTGACTTTTTGGAATAAATGAAAATTCGTTAAATAGTAATCTCAGTGAAAACCCTCTTCAGTTATTTCATGCAATATCTTAGGTTGAGAAATTAAAATATAAAGGTTTACCTATCATAAGCATTTTTTTTTTAAAGATTTATTTATTTGTGCATACAGAGCTGGGGTACAGGCCAGAGGCTCAGAGGCGGTGAGAGGCTTCACCAGAGACAGTTGAGGGGAGCAGCGGGCGGGTCAGGAGAGGTCTGCCACGCCATGTGGTCACCTCCGGGGCGGGGGCAGGAATCGAACTCATGCCGAAATGGCTTTAGCTTCTCAGTGCTGTGCTTTAACCCGCTGCGCCACCAGGGAGGACCTACCATAAGCATTTTATTTTAAATTCATATAAATATAAATTTATTCTCCTGTTCTAGATGCAGGACTCAGATCCTTTGAGTATGAATCTATTTATAAAAATTCCCTGGATAGTTCTTATATAATCCACATATAATCCAATATTCATGATTTCCAGTTTTGAGGCATTTTTAAGAGTAAAATACCCTAAAGACAATTGTGACTCACTCTCATTATAACAATTTCTAGATGTTAACTTTTCCCCAGTCTTTTACCATTTTCTGCCTCACACCTAATTAGACTGTTTCTTTAGGAACTCACCATTATCAAGTTGAGCATTCACCATAGCTTTCATTGAAACAAGTCTCTTCACACTCATAGTTCTTTTCTTACTATAATATGTCATTAAGTTTTATTGTTTCCTTACCAAACACAACTGACATGATGGGATTGGAAACAAACACATCAGCATATGCTCATCAGGTGAGTGCAGGAGTTCAGGTTGTGGTAAAAGAGCAGCCTCTTCATAGCCGTGACCTTTGGTGCTTTGAGGGCATCAAGTCAACCCTTCCAGAATAAATAGAGAAAAGGGATTAATCTGGAGTGGCAGTAAAGAGAGCTGCTACTTTAATGATGCAGACTTTGGCTACAGGAGCAACTCCAGCTTTTAAGCTTCTTTGTGCAGTGATAATTAGTTGAACTGTAATCTTTGGTTAGAGTTCTAGTGCAATTCAGGAATGAAGCATTTTTAAAATGTGTTCTTTTGAGAAAATTATCCAGAGTTTAGGGGTAAAAAGCTAAACCTACATGCTAGATTAACATTTTTTTCTTTATTTTGGGATTTTAAAGAATAATAATGATCAGTGAATGGCATTCCTGAACTTGTTGCCATGGTTTTACAGGATCCGTCTTCTTTGCCATTTTCATTAAAACTCTCTTTTGGTGACAATTGCTAACTTTTAATTAGTTGACTCTAATGAAAAATTCCTGAAAATCATACTACTTTGGGATTGTGTATCTTTTGAATATTTGGGTCACTTGGTAAGTCTGAATCAGTTAGGAGAATTTCACAGAAAAATAAAAGTTTCCTCTGTTTAGGATGGGACTGAGGAAGATCCACAGGCAGAACTAGCCATCATTCATGGGCAGATGGCTTATATTCTTCAGCTTCAGGGTTGTACTGAGGAGGCTTTGCAACTTTACAATCAGATAATAAAACTAAAGTAAGTGATTTATTAAATTAAAGTGTGTTTTATATGGGTAGAGTTGTTTTTGTTTGCTTCATTTTAACTATTGTTTGTTGTCCTCAGGCCAACAGATGTGGGATTACTAGCTGTAATTGCAAATAACATCATTACCATTAACAAGGTATGGATAACTTTGACTTTCCTACACTTACATTTTACACTGAAAGCAAGTTACTCCATCTTTTTTCCCTAGGATAAGTGTTTCTTTCCATGCCAGAGTTCAGTAACAGCAGAATCACATTGAAGAGTAGTGTTTCATTCCCAATAATAATGATCGTAGGTTCTAGACTTTAAAATGTTTAAATGTTTCCCTTCTCCCAGTCTCTACTTGTTATAAAAATAGTATGACCCTTTAAACTTTAAATGCATGCATATTTTACTTTTGGTTTTTTTTGCCTATTGAATTCAAATTTTCTTTATTTGATAGTCTTCTTATCAGTGCTTTTAATGTTTTGGCTTTTATATGCTTTTTCTAAGGAAAAGGAATATGGGCAGGTTCCATATTCCAGTGTTTACTGTGTCCCTGCCCCAAGTATCTATATAAAATATTGCGAGTATGCATATAGGCAGCCACCAAATGCTACTAATGGTACTAATAAACCACCATTTGGAACATTGTTTTAAGGAAAAAGATATTTCAAGTTTAGATGTTGAAATCCAAAAAGGTAAAAAATAAGAAAAATCAGGTATTTGAGTTCTTTTGATATTCAATTGTGATTTTTCAAGTGCCATTTTTTTTAATACTCACAGTCTTTTTTTGGTGGTAGTGCTTGTCTATATTTAGGAGTTTAATCTGAGGCTAAAAGGAACTAAGTAATATGTATGACATTATAGGCAGTAAGTGTAAAACTTGGATTCAGATTTGTTTGTGACTTCAAAGCTTGACTTTGTTAATCCTTAGTGGTATCTCTTTCCTCCTATAGCAGAAATTCAGAGGGTTCCCTAAATGAGGTAGTAGGGTGCTACAGGCCATGAACATGATTTAGGTTTCAAAACATTGGTGCTGGCCCTTGAATCTTAGCAACAATACATACTTGCCTATGTTTACAAAAATTCCAGTCAAAGTAAGTTTTTTTTTTTTTTTTTT